CGTGGTGCAAACAGACAACAGCAATTCAGTGACAGACCCTGACAAACTCCTCATCTACCCTCATATCCCACTGAGGGACAAGGAAATTGTGGGTCCAAGGGAATGCAGGAGTGGAGCTTGGCAGGCTCTTCATTTTGTTGGTCTACTGAGGAGACAAAGAGGGAACTGGCAGCCAAGCTCTGCTGCTCGACCGAGCACCTGAGGCTTTGCTCAGAAGCCACAGAGCAGCCCCAGTTGTGGTGCTCAGGTGAAGGTGGTGCTCAGGTAAACACATTCTGCATAACCCACATTTCCAGTGATTCTGCTGCAGCAATGACTGAATTCAATTAAATTCTTGTTTACTGATGCTTGCAAATAATGATACATAATCCCCTGCCTCCAGCCCTCCATTCTCCTGGTTCCTGTCTCTTGGCAACTGATAAATAATTTATAATGTTCTCCACTGTATGTGCTAACTGCAGCTCTGCTGGTTTAATGATGAAACCAATGCCTAAGAACTGCAACAGGAACTGTCTAGATCACAAGGAACATGTAATCAGTCGATCCCACACTCCTCTGGATGTGAAACCAAAAGCAAACTGTTGGAAAAAAAAATGTTTTCAAGAGCTGCGGCTGCAGGGTAGGAAGGGCACCCAGAAAACTGCAGATAATCTGCAAGGTGCTCCTGCCAACAAGAGGAGTTTTAACGGGCTTCACCATTTTGCTCTTCTCTGCTCCCATGCATGGCAGGACTCGCCAGAGGCTGCTTTTATTGGCAACTTCTCTGCTGCATTCCCATGCAAAAGCCTCTGGGTTTGCATCTCAAGGTGTGGCTGCTTTGGGGGCTATGAAAGCTCCTTGCAGCCCCCATGCAAGGAGAACTATTAAAAAGCAGCATTTGGTCTATGCAGACTAATGTGACTGTTGCCCCAAAGAAGGGGAGACTCTTCCTTTCATGGCAGATGTTTTTCAAGGCCTTCCAGCAGAGCTGTAAGCGCTTGCAAGAAGCCGCGTGTTTGAGCCCCACACAGCACACGGACACGGGCTGTGCACTCTTGTGGCAACACAGCCTCTCACATCCAGAAACTCATTGGAATGAGATTACCCAGGCAGTTGGCAACTGCGGCCATAAGGGCAGAGGAATGAAAGTTTTATTGTTAGCAGATTTCTTTTTTCTTAAAAAAAAAAAAAAAAAAAGGAAAAAAAAAAAAAGAAACGAAACACCCCCCGAAAAATGAGCAGAGAGCAGGGAAGGGATGAAGTATTGCTGTTGACAAAGGCCAAAATCCCATCTATTTATATTAGAGTCACACAAAAACCACACCAGGGCAGTGCTCAAAAGCTTTAAAAAATGCACCTACTTTCTTAATGCTCTTAGAAAATAATAATAAAAAACCTTATCAATATTCACTTTCTGAAATGGTGTAAAAAAAGAGCTGCATCAATCATTAAACAGTTAAATGAGGGCAGTATGACAGTCACTATTGTTCTCGTGAAGCACACTTGTCTTTTGCCGAGCAGCTGCCAGATCCTATTAGATGTATAAAAAGAGGACTTTTCTAACCGAGTAGGGATGGTATAAGCTATTGAAAACAGCAGACAAAAGCCCACTTTTGCAGACTATTCAAGCCTTGTATAACATCTGTCCAAAATCAATTTTTGACCTAATGTTACTTTCATTAAGTAACAGACTTTGTTTCCAATGCAATTTGTTTTCTAGGATAAAACTGTATCCTAAGCGTTATTACGTGGGAAATGGCACAGAGGAAGCAGAGGATCTTATTTGAGAAACATGAGAACAGAATTTGCTTAATTGTTTTGACACCTTAAGTACTATAATAGAGAAACTATTTTCCATTTATTTGAATTCCTGTGAATTCTTGAAGTTGGCAAAACAGCGAGCAATGCACTGGGTTTATTATGACTAAGATTTACTAAGGATAAAGAAGGATCTTTGGGAATTACATTAAAGCTGACAAATGCACAAAACTTCTGAAATCTCCACCAGAAATAAAGTACTCTGAACATTAACAACAGCTGTTGAAACTGTCCAGTCTTGACGATGAAGGCTTTTTTCACACATTTCAAATAATGAGGAAGTTGATTTGTGAATCTGATTTCAAACAGACTGTTAGGAAACATTTCCACTTACCCAAAGGGTCTCTGAATGAAGGCTGGATGTAGCTGCTGCACACCTATGGTAAAACCTAAAAAAAAAGGTTCAGAAAAAAAGAAATATTAATGAATGGCATCCATTGTACCATTCAACTCATAACACACGGTCAAAATTACAGCACACGTCTTTGCATTTGATCTGCTATGCATGTGAGCAAATTCAGAGCCCCATTTAGAAACAAGTTAAATTTAACATGCATATGTGATATGCACGAGGAGCAGATGGGAATTCATGATGAAAGCCCAGTGTGAACGTGCTGCTGTGGAACAGACAATGGGGTATAAAGCCTTATTTTACACACTGGGTACTGTGGTCATTAGACCAAAGGCAGAAATTACAAAGTGGATCTTACTGTTAATTCTCACGTAACAAAGAGGTTTACGGGCAAACAGATCTGCCGTGGAAGGAAACAGCTTTAACACAGTTAGATGAACTTTGGTGAGTAACATCAGTGCAGCAGGGCTGAGTAGGAAGATACAGCAGAGAGGTAACTGGACCATGCAGTGTCCTCAGCCAACAATCAGAACTATGGTGGGCAGATAAACCGTGCATCGTCAGATCAGACGATTCCAGCCCGAGGAACTTGTTTCCTTGTCTTACAAGTTATTCTAATACAGAGAGATGGGATCTCCTGGATGCCTCACCAGTTTGAATACTCCTTGGTTTTGCTCCCAAATACGCCAGGTTCACATTTGCTTTCCTGCCGTCAATGATGGGGTTTGGGTCTTTGCAAGCTCTTTCAGCAGCAGCTCTGTCTGCCATGGTCACCTGGAATCGAGCACAGCCTTGTTTGTAGCAACAGCGCTTTGTAAACACTCCGGCAACAGGCACTAAAGTGGAGTTTATTTATTGTTCTATTTTGAATCGGGAGCTGAACTCCCTTCGTGCAGCCTCGCTTGCACGGAGAGATGGGAAGGGCTGCTGGGACTCGATGGAAAAGCGGGCGCTCCCCCTGCGCCCGGTTTCCCCGCTGGGCCGGTGCCAGCTGTTTTCCCCTGCCCTTCCACCTCCTCCTGCGCCTTTTTTAAGAAGCTGGTGGAGCCCTTCCCAAAAGCCCCAGCTCAGAGAAGCTCAGGGCAGCTGCGGGCGGGATGCGGGGACCCGCACGGACATCGGGAGGGGGGAGCAGGTGCCGAACGAACGGCACGGCCTCGGCCAACACGGGGGGCTCCTCCCGGGCCCCCAGCCCAGCCTTTGTCCTGACCCAGCCCCTCGCTCCCGCAGCGGGCACGGGACGGGCGGCGGCTCCGCAGCGCCCGGCACCGGGGGGTCCGCCCGGCCGCACCGGGACTTTGTCCGGGAGTCTGTCCGGCAGCACCGGGAGTTTGTCACGGCACCGGCGGGCTGGGCAGCCCGGGGCTCCGCTGCCGGCCCGTTCCCGGGGCAGCGCCCGTCCCGCCGCGGAGCGGAGCAGAGCGGAGCGGCACTTACAAAGCCGTATCCTCGGGATTTGCCGGTCTGCCGGTCCGTGATCACCACCGCCTCCTCGATGTCCCCGAAGACCTCGAAGTACTTCCTGAGGGAGGAGTCGGTGGTGTGGTAGGGCAGCCCCCCGACGAAGATCTTGGTGAAGGTGGTGTCCTTCTGCACGGTGTGCATGGTGCCGGCAGCGGCCGGCCCCGGCCGGCATCCACCCCGAGCAGAGCCGCGCCCCGCCGAGCCCCCCGCGGCGGCCGAAGGCAGCGGAGCGGCGGCGGCTCCCGGGCCCTACAGCCGCCTCATGGCCGCGCCTGGAGCCGGAGCGCGGCCCCGCCGAGCCCGCCGGTGCCGGTGAGTAGCGGCCGCCCCGCCGCCGCCGCCGCCTTTGTAGGGCCGCGCGGCCCCGCCCCGCCGCCGCGCAGGGGCCATCGGGGCGCGTAGTCCGGCCCCGCCCGGGGGTCCCCGCGCCCCGCCCCGCCGAGCCCCCGGCCCGCACCGAGCCCCGGCAGCGCCGCGCACACCGGGAATCCCCAGGGCCGGACCCTCGGGCCGGGCCCCGCGCACTCTGCGGGTCCCGGGGAGCGGCGCCGGGCGGGCGCGGGCAGAGCCCCGGCGGAGCCCGCCAAAGATCCCGCCGGGGCAGCGGGGTCCCGCAGCCCTGCCCGCTGCTGTTGCGCAACCATCGCAACGGCGAGGGCTCGGTCCCCGGCAGGCTCGGGCACGGGACCAAGCCGGGGGCAGCTGGCAGCCTTTGTGGCACGCGGTGGAAGCAGGGCAGGAGGAAGGGGTGGTGTTGAACGGAATCGCCAAGGAGAAACAGTACGGGAAGAGGTCGAGGAGTGAACAAAGGTTCAGAACTACCTTTCTCAAGCAGGTTCTTAAGCCTCCTGCTTCTCCACTGCGCACCTGGATATGTACCTGTGCAGCCTCTCTGGGGACAGGGATGCACCGTTCCCATTTCCCTGGTAGTCAGGAATGGGGTTCTCCACCGTCCTCCTTTTCCATTTTGTTCCATGAAAGGACAGGCAGCTCCTGCTGTGAAGTGCCACTGCCTGTGACCTGACCTGCAGGTTTCTGCCCTGACCTGCGATTCAAACCTGGGAGAATTGTTACTATAGCACAGCCCCATATTTGTTGCATGTACCCCTTGGCCCATAACTGCAGGAAAACAAAAGCTGAAAACCCAACCCAGCACTGGAGAACCCCAATGGTGGGATGCTTGCAATGCTTTAATTCCTCCTTTCCAGCATCAGTTGGAGTTTGGGGTGTGGGAGAGAATCCCAAAAATCATTATTTGTTCATACTTTCCATCACCCAGAATCTCAAGAGCTGACCCTGTGCCTTAGGTTTATAATTTCTCAGAGAAAGAGATTTTTTGCAACATGATAAATGCAGAGATAACATTTTAGGGAAAAAAAAAAGCCAGTGAAGTTCTAAATCATCATCATCTACTTTGGCTTCTATACAGCAGGTTCAGACTCTGCAGACACTTTTTTGTTACAGACCCCACAGAGAAAAGCCAGTTATTTCAAGAGAAAGGAATGCATTAATGTCTGCACTCCATAGTTATTCATTAATATTTTTCTTGCACTGCTTCCATAGTTCTAAACACCCTATGCTTCATAAAAGAGAGAGGGGAAAAAAAAGCCAAGGAAAGCCATTAAGCTTTCAGTCCTGAACCACCAGACTTCAAGACTAGGGTGCATTTCCTTTGATTACTGTGGAAGAAAGATGGAGCTGGGCCAGCAGCACCCAACATCACTGAAAAATTGACAGCAAATGGATGGTCCATGGAGCCTTTGTGTCTTGTGAAGCCACCAGCTGTGCCTGGTCCATCCCAGCAGCAAGGCTGGAGCACACCTTTGGGGCCGGGCTGCAGCCGGGGGCTGGGGCCTCTCCACCCCCAGTCACCCCTTCTGTCTGCATGACTTCCACCACAAACTGCACATCAGCTGCTGCCTGGGCTGCCCGAGCTAATGACAGCCCCATTGGCATTCAGTCTCTGTCCTTTCACAGAGCTTCATTCTGCTCCAAATGATGGCAGAGATTCAAACCATCCAACCAGACTCCGGCTCCTCTGCAGGGCAGGCAGGGCTGGCAGAGCTCTCCAGAGACACCAGCAGCATCTCTGTTCTCCATGCTTATGCTTGTCAGGGGGGGGAAACAGCACAGGCTTTTTTCTTCTTCAAACATGAGCCCCACATCTCTCAAAGGAGAAATCCCAGCTCCTCTTCCTCCCTGGAGGCAGGAACAGGAGTTTCCTACAAGAAAGGAGCTCAGGTTAAAGCTGTGCTCGGTGAGCAGCACAAACCCCCCGGTAGCGCTGGGGAGGCGGCCTCGGTTCTGCCACATCCTGGAAAGCAGGAGGGGAAATGAAATCTCCTGTCTCATGCTGCAGCTATTGCAAACACAGGCTCTAATGAGCTGTTACCACAAACACAGCAGGAAAGGGAAGAGAAAATGAGTAAGGATAACTTTATGGAAATTAATTAGTTTGCTTTTATTTTTTCCGCATCGTTCTTGTGAAAAGCACTCATCCTCCTCAAAACACCTACAGATAAAATCCAGCCATCAGATCAAAGCTGCAGGAGCTTGGCAGAGCCAGTTTGCTGACATCTCCCATGCTTTTACTGCAACAATAGGAGTACCTGAGAAGAGAAGGATATATTTCAACTTTCTTTGAGTTGTCTCAAAGATAACTCCTGTAAAGGCAAGCATATATTGAAGTATGAAGCTGTCTTGGGGAAGGCAGGACATTGCTTAGCACAAATCTAAGAGGAGGCTGCAAGCAAGAAGAAGAACACAGACCTGATATAAGCTCTTTTAGGAGTGCATTTAGTCCTTTGCTGTTATTAAGAAATAAAACCACACAGGTCAGTCAATGAGGAGGCTGACAGAAAAATATCTTTTGCAGTGGGTGTACAACCATCCATATCCTTAATGTACAGGATTTGTATTACAAATCCAGAGCATCCTATTCTCATTCAGATTGGGAAGATTAATTTTACAATAATTCAACACAGTTAAGAGGACTCACTGGGTTTTTACTTACATGTTGATACATTCCTTGAAGCTTAAGCAAAATTGATACACAAAGGCTCCTTCAGGAGTGGACTTCAGCAGTGTTATCCAAGAGGTGGAATGGAAGAGCTGCAGATCACCACAGCAATGTGCTGGATTCCACTGACAATCCTAGAGAAGGTGGCACTGCAAGACTATCCAGGTACAGAACCATATAGAAATGGTCCCTGCCTAAAGGATGAAAAATAGATTATAGCAGGAAGTTATACCTTTGGGAGCACAAGAACAGGACAGAGGTGGGGAAAGAGCAGCAGGGAAAATGTTCCCTGTTCCTTGGCCTCTGCAAAGCCCCAAAGTCCCTTCTGTTCTTGTCCCTCCCTTGGCACTGAAGCTCTGTGCTGCTCTCCTGTAAACTTGTCTGAGCATTTTCCTTTCTTCCCCCAGTGTCTTTGGGAAAATTGATATGAGACACCCCAGGTTTTATCTGCAAGCCTTTGAAGAACCTGCCTCATTTCTTAGCAAACTGATGGGCTTTATTTTTAAAATGGAGCAGGGCTGCTGTGGAGCTCTGACCTTTTTCAGTTCCTGCTGCTGCTTAGCCAAGACTTCATTGCTGTAGGGCAGTGCCCTTGGGTTTGCCATGGATACTCACTTATTGCAATAACAGCAGATGAAACATCCCCCTTAGAAGCTCCACAGTTAAATAAGTTAACTGGAGAGCAAGGCACTTACTGTGGGAACTGTTTGGTTTGTTGGTTTTACTAATGCTCAGTCTGGATGCTGGCCACCAGCAAGGCTGTGAGCAGGGAGATCTTGAGGGAGCTGCATCCAGTGGCATTTGGTTTAGGTTATCATGGGGAATTCTGCATCTGGGCCCTCTGTCTCAGATTTTTTGGTTTGGTGCCCTGAGGACACCATAACAATTGCTTAACCCAGAGCTGCTGCTGCAACAAGAATTGAAAAATGAAAATCATTCTTCTTTGGGCCACTTGTAACAAAATAGTTGGGCAGAGGAGGTTCCCAATCAGGGCTGCTTTCTGGCTTTGGTTTCTGTAGGAATCCTCCAATAGGACTGTTTCCTCTTCTGAATATTCCAGAACTGGGCATGCTGAGTGAACTCTGTTTCCTTTTGCTGGCTACACTGGTTACACAGAAGCAGATCATCAGCTCTAGTGGGCATCTAGAATGATCTGATTTATTATTCCAGTAACCTGCATTTAAAAAAAAATATGGATATGGGCATTGGTAACTCTGGGACTGAGAGAACAACAAATGGGACACCTTCTTCAATTGTGCTGGGCCACAAGCATATGTTAGAGTGTGGCTAAAGAAAATATCATTAAAAATCTAATTCTACTTCCCCAAACTTTCCTGCCCTCCCATTTGATGTTCCTTCAGAAAATGAAAATTGCATATCTGTGCCATGACAAAGGACAAACAGAATCATGGTAATTGCAAACAAGATTCCTGAAAAAGAAAAGGCTTGGAGGAACATTGCAGAGCTCATAACTGCTTGGAGGATCTTGCCACAGGAAGTGCAAGCCTTGGATATCAGTCTAGATGAAAATAAAGGCATAAAATATGGCCAAGGAAACTGAGAGGCTGTGCCATCACATTGCTCATACCTCTGCAGCTGCCAGCAGGGAGAATGTCTGATATTCAGGAATCTTGTGCTTTGCTCTTTGTGCCACCATCACCATTTCCCAGGAGTTTCTCAGAGCACAGCTTGGCCCTTGTCCTTCCACATGCCCTTGTGCCAGCCATGTGTGCCAGGGGAGGATGAAGCACCTGTTTGGAGCAGGAAGGACCAGGTCAGCAAGGAAAGGCGCTTCAGTGGAGCCTGTGGTGGTGCCCTTCAGTGGGGAAGATGTGCTGCAGCCACTCTGAGTGGGCACCCCTACATTTCTTGGTGCTTTTTACTCTGCCCTTGGGGAATTTCTCCTCCACCATCTCCAGCTGTCTGTTTATGCAGGTCCAGCTCCTGGGAGCTGTGTGTACAGACTCTCCCCAGCCCTGGCAAAACACTCTGGGGAGCTGGAATGACACTGGGCTGGGGATTGTCACAGTGTGACAGCAGGGAGCTGGGCTGGCTTTCTGAGCAATCAAAATACTGCCCTTGATTAGGATGGTGGCTTGTTTTCTGGCATTGCTGGCATCTCTGCCAAATAGTTTTGTCATCATCAGTATTGTAATGTCTTGGCCTAGAGCAATGGTAACCCTTGCCTTTCCTGTGACTTGGGGATGATCTCTCTTTAACCTCTTAGAAAATGACTAATGGAAAGTGCAGATGTTCATATTGCAGCTAAATTATGCAACAAATCCAGGAAACCCTTCACTAGCTGATCTTAATTTCTTCTTTGCTTCATAGAAGGCAGGAAAGGGATGACAAAGGGTTAGAAGCAGAAAAGGAACAGGGCAAAGCAAACAGCTCATGGTGGTTTCTGGGACAGAAGTTTCTCTCCAGATTTTCTACCACATCTCCTCCACTGGCAGTAAGCACTGGGGAGCAGGAGCTGTGAGACAGATGCAGGAAACGTTTTCCTGCTATGACAGCATCTAGATCTCAGCAGAACATGATATATGTAGGCTAAAATACTGCCTATTTCTCCATGGTTTGGTGATGTCTTGGAGGAAGAGTCTCTGCATTCCCAAATCTGCAAGGCAGGGCACTGGGAGAAGAGTAAGAAGATGAAACCACTGGTTATGACCTGCTAAACACAACCTCCACTAATGATTCTGTTCCTTCCCTGAACCCCTGCACAGAAACTCTGTCTCTCTTTAGTGGAAATATCGTCCCATCTCTCTCAGGCTGGGATTTAATCATCAGAAGGGTTTTCCTCCCACAAAAAGTTTTTTAGAAAAAAACATTCCATTTGAGTCAAACATGCAAACTGCATCTCAAAATAGTTAAACAAATATTTTTGCTATTTCAATTTTATGTTGTACTTTGGGAAAATATTAATTGTAACTTCATACTTCTGAAGTTTGAAAACCATAAAACTACATTTTAAAATGAACAAGAGATCATTTAATATTCTTTAAAGGAAGGAAGCAGAAAAAGTAGGGCCTTTTGAAACAGCATTAATAATTATATTTTTTGCAAATATTTGTGGAGTTATGTTAAAACTAAGTGGTATTTTCTGATTTAAAAAAAGAAAATGCCAGAGGGCTTCTAACAATCTCTGCCAAAGCTGCCAGGGCTGCATCTCATGACCTTTTCATGGGAGTGCATGTGACACTGGTAGCACAAACTGAGCAGGAACTGTCCACCCACTCCAACCAGGGAACAGCCAGGACACAGAAGAACATTAAACAAGATGTCTCAGCTCTGGGATGTAGAGCACAGCTGTATGGACACAGCAGATATTCTTAACAGCAAAATGCAAGTGACTCCAGAGCTGGAGCACATCCATAGCATGGGACAGACCCAATTTCTATCCCCCTTCCCACAGGTGAGCACAGCCAGGTCTCACCCATGGATCCCCTCCTTGACCTCATGGTCCTTTTCCCCAGGTTGCTGTATTTTAGTCCTCACTAATCCAGACTCTTCTGTCACATCACACCCAATGAGATAAATAATCCATCTACTCTGATATTTCTAGAAGTATCACAACTGGAAAAGTGATTATTTAATGCCCACAATGAACCTGGCCAGAAGAACATACACAAAAAATATTGGCATGGCAATTAACCTTCCTTAAAGGTTTTGTTTGAAACTCTTAGAGCCTTCTAGTTACCATGTCTACTCTATTTAAACACAAGGCAGCAAAGGTTCGTTGCAGTGGCTCTGAACAGGATATAAACACAATTGGAATGTCAAGACAACAAACCAACATATCAGCACTGGATACAGAAGCTTTTTCCATGGAGCCTGGAAAGGTATTGAAAAAGAAAAACAGAGGTACCTGCACTGAAATCTGGGCAGGATGATTCCAGCTTCTGGATGATCTCAAAAAGTCCAAAATGGGCCTTTGACAAAAGAAAAAGAATCAGCTACAGCAGGGCAGCACAATCACTGCCTGGAGGGGTCAAAGCTCACCTGGGCAGTGCCACTGGCTCCTGACAGTCCAACACCCACATCCAGTCTGCTGGAGCAGTGATTCCTGAGGGGGAAAAGCCACCAACAGCTCAACAGGCAGCCACACGATGTCCCCAACACTGCAGCAGGACCATGACATCAGCTGAACATGACAAGTGGAACAAAGTCCTGCTAAATCACACAGCCCAGTTAGTGCCCATCATGCCTTTAGTTAGTGGGGAAGCACATAGAGAAAGGTGCAAGACAAGAAAGAGGGCAGGTTTTGCATCCTCAGAGGACAAAAAGGATGGCTGATGGGTGATTGTATTTTGAAGTCAAGCTTGTGAATGAAGTGTGTGGATCAGTACTGAATGAGGAAATCCATTCTGCTGCTTGAAGTGTGGTTTTCCTTTTGCCAGCCCTGGGGTGCCAGGACCAGTGTTACCTCAAAGGACATTTTCATCAGCCTACAGGGAGAAAAAACCACTCTTCTGTTTCCTGAGCAGTGTGGCTGTGACAGCACCAGGCCTGTTAAGCAGCAAGGTCACTACTGGGAGATGCTACCCTGGGCCAAGCCACATTCAGAACAGTTTGGAGAGTTAAATCATCCTCTCTCATCTCCCTGCTGCTGTCTGCAGGACCACCAAAGAAAGGTGCCCAGATGATGAACTGGATGAGCTCAGCCATTGTGGCAGACCCAGGTCAGCACTGCAGAATGGCCCCAGCTGCATCACACAGCCAATGGCTGAACAAAAGCTGGAAGGGTTCAATGACAAGGTTTTGCTAAGCTATTCTCTTTAACTAGACCATCTTTCTGTGGTTTTTTAAAAAAGCTGTTTCAGCCCAGTTAAAGTGTTTCTGAAATGCTACATACTCGTGTTTGAAGCCTGACAATGTTCCACAAATGTAGATGTTCTTCTTTACAATTATATAGATGCTGCTCTGTAAATTAAACATTAATGCCTAAACAACCAACTGCTGTCTGCAACCCTGCTGCTACAGACCAAGAATGAGCATTACTTAGGAAAGGGAGACCTCCAAGGAAAAGAGTCAGGTATCTGCAGAAAGCAATTACCTGTCAGTAAGTGATACCTGACTCCATATAAATCCCACTGTTACAGCAGGAGCAGGGCAGACAGCTGTCCTTCCAAAGAAAACCAGTTGTAAAAATTGTATTTGAGCTCCAGTTTAGTCATTTGAGAATAGTTTGAACCACTGCATTATCTGTGCCCTTTACTGACTGCAATAACCATGGTATATTCCAGACCAGATGCATCTCCCTTTGCTGTAGATCAGTACTGAGCTGCACTTGATAGGCAAGGGAAGGAAGGTGATTGAACCAGTTGGCAGTGGGTCAGAAAAGGACATTTGAGCTTACACCTTTCTGGGAGATGGCACAACTGTGAGGAAGTACCTTGGGAAGGGTTGAAGAAAATCCATTACCTGAGTTTTATTTCACAGTGTTCCCAGGAACTGAACATTGCCCCTCTCCTTGTCTGTCCAGCAAATCAACAATCTGCATTTAAGAAACATGAATGACAGAAAGCATTCTCTGTCAAACTACATTTGTTAATGCACCCCTGAGGACAGGCTTAGCTGACCTGGGTGTTTAACATGCAGTTTGCAGCATTTTCCCATTCCTGCAGCAAACTCATTGCTGGACGTCAGCACATCCACACCTCACACTATAAAGCAGTTACTGCCTGCAAAAGACACCCTGGGCAGCAAAGGGTAAACTTTCCCCACACCCAGGGAAGAGCATTACCTTAATCTCTTATCTAGGCTGCTTTTCAGTGGCACTTGATACAGGAGCTATACCAAACACTTCCTTGAAAACATAAAGCCAGGGATTGGGTTACACACGATTGGAGATCTGTGCCACCAGTAAGACAAAAGCTCCTGTATTACCTGGCACATGCTGCTAAATTATTGAAGTGTCCCTTCAAACTGAATATATTCACTGCATAATTAGTCATCAGAAGAAAACAGTCTCTCTTTACAAAGCTAATGCTGGCAGCTATTGTATCTTTTATGCACTGTAACAAAAAGCATTTGCAGAACTGATGCAACACAAACATTTGGAATGACTCTGTCCATGCACGAGTGTTCCCAAGGCACATGCTCCCCTTTGTGGTGCTGCCTCAGTCTCATGTTACCTTGCAACCAAGACCTAAAAATGTGAATTACTTTTCCCAGCTGTAGCACCATCCCCATTCCAGAAGCAGGCAAATGGTGCAAACACCTGGAAGTTTGCTTTGCCCCTGAGGAAGGAGTGAGATCAGTTTGGCCATTCAGGGTCCATTCTGCATCAAGTGGGACCTCCCTGGGGCTGTGCATCAGTGCCACTCTCAGCTCACACTGCTTGCAGCTGATGCCACTCCAGAGGCTCTGCTCTCATGGGCTTGTCCCTGCTGCTGATTCCTGGCAGCACAGCTGCTCCAGTGGCAGTCCCAGCAGTGCTGGAAGCACCACAGCCAGCTGGTGTTGCTCTGTTATTCTGACCTGGCAAGGCAAGAGCAGCAGCAGCTCCCTCTCAGCTGTGCTGCTGCTGAGAGCAGGATGGGCCTGCAGTGCTGTATATAAACCTAAGCTTACCTGGAAATGCAAAGAGATGGCTTCCAGCTGTTTGAACACCAGCTGCAGGATGAAATGCAGTTCTACCAACTCCAACCCACAGCCCGAGGTGTGCAAAGACAACATTCTGTCAGTGGAAATATTCCTGGGTTTTTCCCTTTGAATTCCACCTGTTACACCTGACACCAAGGGGACAGATGGGTTCTTTTAGGGATCTTTGGCAGAATAAAGACAGCACTAAAATGTACCTACAATCAAGGCTTTCTCAGCAGGATATTCTGATTAGCATAGCAAAGAATTTATGATTAGTATGGCACAGGATTTCTACAAGTAGCATCAATATGGTACAATCTGTAAATAGCACAATACAGAATTTATATTTTCTCTATAGCCTGGACCTTCTGCAAGTCTGAGGCTCCTAACACATGGTTTAGTAAATCAATGTAACAATCACATAGACTTGGAAATCATGTCACAGAATGAGCCACTCATTCTGTGGAAGCAGAGGACATGGAGGCACCCCTGGCCATGAGGGGTCCCAGCCCTCCCCTGAGCATTTCCAACTCCACAACTTTACAGACAGAGCCCTGGGTGCTCAGCAGCAGCACTGGGCTGCCCAGGAGCCTGGGACCTTCAAGGAAGGGAGGAATGGGCCTGGAGCCCAGGAATTGTGAGGCCAGCAGCCAGGGGAAGAAGAAACTGGTTTGGGTGACTTGGTTCAGGGGACCTTCAGGGCCTGATAGTGAGAGAAGAGGAACAAATACAACAACAAATACATGACCTGCTGGGTCAGATGTCTCACTGAGCAGCTGACAGAGCATTGCATAGCTCTAAAGACTTGGTTTATGTGCATGGATACCAGGTACACTCCTGGAATGGAAATGATTCTATTTTCATTCTTCTGTTCCCTGAGTATTTGGGGAGAAGCTGCTTTTACAAACAACTGTACCTTGTATTCCAGCAGCACTCCAGCTCCGTGCAGAGCCCCAGGCACGCTGCAGCCCGGGCTGCAAGCAGAGCTGTGCTCAGGAGCCATCAGCACTGCCATCGCCTGGCACCACGGCAGAGTTACAGCTTCACACTGTGCATTCCGTGCATCCTGCAGCTGCCGGGCTGGAGAAGGTTACTGGGGAATTGTTCCTGTCCTGAATTTGTTCCAGTCATTACTGTGTGCTGCAGCTCCAGGTGATGATCATCACCTGGCTGTAAAGCTCAATAACGCAGGGGAAATGCTTTACACGGTGAATCTGCACCAGAGCTTTGTGAAATAAATCAGTCTTACCCAAATGACTGCAAATAGCACTTAAAAATTAAGTCTCCAGACTGGCTAATTAACAGCCATTTCATTTTGCTCAGGTTCATCTCTGCAGAAAGCAAACAAATTGGAAATCAGTGGTTTCCATCATTTCAAAGGCTGGAGAGTGTAAAACCTCATGACAGTGATCTGACACAATTCCTAATCGTGGGCAGCTGCCCAGACACCTCATCTGCAAACAGCACTTGCTCACCACTAAACTGAGCCAGGCCAAAGCAACAGTTTTATTGAAATATCCCATGTACCCCAATCCCACCTCAATCTCAGATCCACTCCCCTCTGCAGAACAACTCAGTGACCAATTTTTCTGGCCTAGGAGCTGAACTGGAGCACTCACCAATTCAGGATTGCATTTCCTGTGGCAGATGGTAAATCAATACTCTGCCTGCCTGCCATTGTGCAAACATGTCTTGTTTCATCTGTGAAAGGCTCTAGCAGACAAACTTGGCCAATTATTTCATTTTCTGAAATAGATTTCATTAAACCAATGTGCAAAACCGCTGACACGTGAGAGCAGCAGCAGGAAACTCATCTGAAAATGTAAAATGTTCCCCTTTTGAGGGGTTTAACTGGGCTGCTCCTTATGCCAAAGATTATTTGCCTGCAATAAAACACACTGACAGCAAACTTTCAGAAAATTAAAGAAGTTACTTTATAAATCAAGCATTCCTATGTTAGCTTTGGGTACACGTTAGCATCTTACATTCTTCACTCATTTTTTTGGACAGGTAACTGCCATAGAATAGCAAGTTAAATACATTTCCAGAAATGCACTAACACTTTAAAGGGTGTGAATAAACTCTCATTTTTGATGCTTGAAGGGATACAGCTGTGTGTACTTTACAGCAGAACCTCACAATAGTTCCAGGGAAGAGCAAATTGCCAATGTGCTCTCTTAACTTGGGTAATGGAAAACAATTCAGTTCAAAGCCTGACTCTCCTCCCAGCTGAACACATCTAATGTGCACAGCAACATAATGGAAACTATGTCCTTCTAAAATTAGTCTGAACAAGTAGCAAGTGATGATTAAATAATTCTGAAGCCTCACTGACAAAGAAGTTCAGTCCAGCAGAGTAAGTACTCAACATAGTGACACACAATGTGTTATGAAACCAGACTCACCAGTGCTGGCCTCAGTGGCCACTGAAGCAGGTGCAGCTCCACTGGGTCCCAGAGAAATGTACCTGCTCAACTCATCTATTTTCTCTCACTCATTCACATTGTTGGGTATTTAAACAAAATGAGATTTTTTTAAAGCAGGAAACAATGACACATTCCATTCCTCCCTGTTTGCTCCAGTGGGAGTTCTGCACACTTCAGTGATCACTTACACCTGATCTCCAGCCTGCAGTTGCTTGGTGGCATTCAGTTCACTGGGAGTCTGGAAAAATGTGCTAACAACCAAAGATTGCTGCATAACAATCACAACCTTAGGGAAAAAAATCAACAGAAACCAAAGAAATGTTTGAGCAAATGATCAGCTACTGATTTAAGTGCTGGGAACTCTTTCCTACCTTAAAGAAAACAAATTGTTCATGAATGCAAAATCTAAAATATGTAAAACATAGAAGTAGCAGCGAAAAAAAACAAACTATCTTGAGAAATAAACCAGAAAAAGTTAATCCCTTAACAAAGCAGAGTAGGGTGTATTTAGATTTTCCTCTATACCAAACAAGAAATACCCATCCAGCAAAAACTGATGAACTCAGGGAAGAGTCTGGAGTGAAAAGACAGTGGGCTGGAGGGAGCCTGAAGAGTCTGTGATTCATCTGTACTCACCATGTCAGGTGTTTGGCTGCTGAAACAGCAATGAACTTGATTCATCTCAGAACAAAAGGCCTTTCACACCACTTCTCCCAATTCTTTGAGGCAAACCCACAGGAATCATTTGTAGTGGAACAGAAGTTGGAAAATGCATTGGGTTCTCTTAAGCAGCTGGAGGAAAAGGAGCTGACTTTCAGCAAATGCCCCTGAATTACACTGAAAGGCCAAGAAGCTGCTTTGAAACAGGAAGCACATTGCCTTGCCCACATTATTGGAACAGAACTTCTGAATATAAAAAAGCATTTAGTAAAAATTTTATTTGAAACTCAGCATGAATCCGTAACCACCAGCATTAAACCATAACAGTTTTACAGAGAATTTGTACAATATGCCATGTAACTCTATACATGCTCCCCCCATCCCCTTTTTATTCAGTCATTATCAAACAAACAATAGTTAGACAGGAATAATAAGCATTCACTTCCAAAAAGAAAACTTTGGCATGTATACAACTGGCTAGTTAAAAGTAAACAGTGGTAGATTCAAGTCAGAAAGAGACCCACTCATTTTGTTTCACAGCATTTTTGATCAGGATGAAGCTTCCCAGCACTACTTTCTAGTTAATACAAAAATGAGTATTTTTTTCAGTCCTGAACACCCTCTTACAGGACAAAACCATGTTAAAATGCTCAACTTACAACTCTAAAAGGTGTCAGCTTCAAAGAAGCTTAGGTTAAAGGGATTTTGCACACATTGATTTGGTCATGAATAAAACCTTTATAGGTTTGCTCATGTTCCTGAACTCTGAGCTATTTCACCACTTGGCACCACTGCAACTTCTCCTTTGAACTAGAAAAAGCAGTTTGCTCAGAAGTCATGTCCACTGCAGGAGTGCCAGAAAAACCTAAAGTT